AGGTCCTTTCTGAGCATATTCACGGATTAAATTTTGAATTTACTTCTTAGTAAAGAAGTTTATACAGTTTATAAAATACAAACATTTGATGACTTTAGATTTTATGCACCATAAGATAATAAAGACATTATATTTTTTCGAAAGTATAATACATGTGATATGGTGCATAACATCTAAAGTCATAATATTCATTTACTTGGATGTCTAAGATTATTTGATTATTTCACTCATCTTTAATTGTTAGAAGTGAACCGACTGTATATTGTTTATACGAGTCATAATTATATATCAAATTTGAAATATAATTTTGAGCAAACTCAAAAATTAAATTATTAATTGGCCAAATCCCCAAACTCTGGCCAAATTAATAATTTTCATTCAAATAAAGTTTATATATAATTATAACCATAAACAATATATTTACAAGGTTTTTTAATTCAATTTTTAATAAAAGGCTTGTGAATTTTTTTAATTTGTCCATTTTATTCATTTGGACAGCAAGTATAAACAAACCTTCATATAATGACATTAAAACAACATCAAAAAACATTAAAACAACAACATCCGTATCAAAAGTAGGCAACACCGACGAAATTGATACTACAGAAAAAGATTCACTTTCAAATTCGAGGTGCATCTTATTATCTAGTACGTCGTACTCTTAGCATCTAAAGAATTCGACAAATTGTAAAGTTTGTAATCAGAATTATCAGTATATCGAAAGTTTGAGCAACTTAGATTGAATAGCCAAACAAATGAGTAGAGTGAAAGTAATAACGAAGTCGTGAAAAAAAATCCGGGTTTTTAAATTTTTGAGTTTGTTGTAAGGAAAATATATTCAAGATTTAATTTTATTTGCTTCTTGTAGGATGTCGAATTGCTTTTAAATAAAATTTGTGCAGGTCTAATTCGGTTCGAGTTCTATATTTAATTGGTTAAGAAGTTTGGCTCGCCGAATTTACAGGAATATGCAACTTTATCATTATTGCCTCGATATTGCTCAGATAAAACAAGTCTTTTCGACCAGTGGATTCAGTTCAGAAGAAAGTGCTATTTCTGAATTTATAATTACCGTATATTCTGTATATTTAAATTGTAATTATAACGGCTTAAATATGATATATTAATTTTTTATTCATTCGAAAATCTCTCGGAAGAATCAAAACAATAGTCATAATTATTATTTATGATCAATCAAGATGAAAAGGACGAGGGCAAAGTTTAAATCTAACACTATCAATATTATCTGAGAGTTAATATTTGTTCATGAAATACTGTGTATTTGCTATAAATATTATTTTATAATAAATCAAATTATTGGATATTTGCAAACGAAAATTCACCAGAAAACCAAAAAATGAATGGCTCAAAGGGCTGGCATGTCATATGAAGGAAATAGATCCGTATTTCCCCAATTATTTGACTTAAAAGCTGCTTCCAATTCAGGAAAATTCGGATAAAATTGGCCTTTAAGTTCGTTCTTATTCCAAGCAATAAAGTAGGAAAATTGATTATCATCAAAGTTAATTATACTTTGCAGACCAGAGATATATCCTCCCTTAACATAATGCCATCCATCCGGGTTTGAATAATATCGTTGATCAAATCCTCGCAAATTTTCAAGCATGTCAAAGGTCGTGTTATTGTTTAAGAGCTTTCCAGACTTCGAAGATAGCCCGGCAAGAATACGTGCAAAATCAACGGCTGCGACAGACCAACCACCACCGCCATCTTGATTTTGAATGTCAAACCCACCATATTGGTAAGGAACTAATGGCTCATCAGGAGTCATGACGCTATCTGATACACCAATTTTCCAATCGTGATAACGAGCTTCACCAGTCAGCTGAGAAGATAAAAGAGTACGAGACAATCTTGTTCTCGAAAGTCCCAAAGGTTTCCCTATTGTTGATAATACAGCAGATTCGTACAATGTTCCTCGCTTTTTTTCCACCACCAAAGATAACAAGATATAACCAAAATTTGAATAAAGATATTGTGTTCCTGGCTCAAATTGCAATTTTTCGGTCATTATGTATCTTGCTAATTGTAATTTGGTAATAGGCAAGCTGGTTCCAAATGCCTTTACGGTAGCTACATCCCTGTGCCAGGCATCTGAAAAGCCACCTTTGTGTTCAAGCAATTGTCGAATAGTGACTTTTTTTATATTTGGATCTGAAGGATCACCTCCTGAGGGAGTTTTGAGTTGAAGAATGTCTTGGAATCGGTCATCAAGGGAAAGTAGTTTTTCTTGAATTAGTTGATGAATAGCGATACTAGTGATGGATTTGGAGCAACTTGCGACGCGAAACGGAGTTGTAGGCTGAATTGCGGGATACCCGGGTTCGGCCCACGTATAACCTTTAGCATAAACCAGTTTCTTTCCAAGAACAATACCCAAAGAAGCACCATGAATTTGGTTCTTTTTAATATAGTCTTTCATAACATCATCGATCGATTGAACAGTGGTGAGACCAGACGCAGTAAAATTACGAGGTATTGGAATAGTATCTTTGGCAAAAATGACAGCAATTCGGATACCAGAACCGCTGCCTCCTCCTTGAACAGAAAAAGGATAATATCCTTGAGCAACCCATTTGTCAAATTCTGCTTGGTATTGACTAGAAGTGAGACCATGTCTTTTGTAAAAAGGAAGAAAGAAAGAGCAAAATAAATATGTATCCTTTTAATATCTTCTTCACAATAATTTTCATTTTTTACCTTGCAACCCAAGGTCCAATTTGGTTGTCAACAAACACAGAGAAATATTGATAAGAGGACGAAAGTGTCACAAATGAAGGACGTGCCCATACTGAGGTTTCGGCATTGAACCGAGATTGATAGGTGGCAGCATCATCTACTATGCCATCAGCATTCCAACTAATGTTATCAGTATTGGAACTCCAAATTGCGGCAAACACTGGATTTGAAGCACTTCCATAAACGGAACCAGATGTCAAAATTAATCCCTGCTCATAAGCTTGCTTATTCCAATATTGTATGGTATTCGTTTCGCTGTCAGATCCACGGACAAGACCAAACTTTGTTAAATGAAGAGGACCAGGTCGCTTTTCACAAGTTCCGGCAAAAACAGATTTTGAATCATTTCCGGTGGCTGTAATCAGAATAGCAGAATAACCACCTTGAGCGCATTTATCGAAAAAGCTTTGGTATTGGGAAGGAGTAGCTCCATGAATAGCTAAAAAGGTGGTGTAAGTGATCGAGTTCATTGTTAATTTTCTCTGGCAATCAAATGATATCATTGAAAAAAGATCTTACCCATCCAGTCAGGAGACAATTGCGTTTGAACCCATACAGCGGCGTAACGGGTATCAGATGGATCACCATAAACACTCAGGGAAATCATGCGATACTTTTTGGGATATAATTCGTCAAATTTTTGTTGATGGTAGACATGGGTTGCATCATGATATGCTTCAAATGCTGGACGAGAATATAGTCCGGGAGAAGCTAATAAACAAAATAGCAATACTAATAAAAAAAAATTAATTTTCATTGTTGAAGTTTAATATCGATATTGATTATGGGAGATAGGCTATAAAGATCCTTTTTATACATGTATTCGAAAGATCTACAATAATATCACGTATACATGTAACAAGAAATACGTAGCAGTTTTTCGTGTGACAAAAATCGGATGCTTAAACATTTGATCTAACGTAAACTCCGGTGAATAAGCACCACTTTATTTTCCAGTCCAAAACAGTAAAACAACGAATAAGCACCATCTATTTCAACGTTGGTGAATAAACACTATCCATTTCCAAAACAGTAAATCAATGAGCAACGGCGAATAAGCATCATCCTATTTCAACTGCGGTGAATAATCACCACCATAGTTCAATTATCTAAAATCGCTTTAAATGGTGATAATTTTAAATCGTGAGGAAATGTTCAGAAACGAGCACCACTCCGTTTTTTAGAACCCAAAAAGTGGAGGCTCATACATATAACGGAACACGAAATTAACTTTCTAGAATTCCATGACTATTATTTTTAAAAAATATCAGAGATTTTCAAGGTTTTCAAATGAACACTTTATTTGTTCCCATGGAAATAAGTGTTCCGTTACATGTGTAAGCCACAGTATATATGCTGATTTAAAATTATAATTGTCATTTTCAGCCTATTTTGTGATTTCTTTTGTAAACTTCAATTGCTAAAAACTGATTGTTTGCATATACCTATTTAGCTAAAATTGAATATTATCCAATTGTGCTTGAAAATAGGAGACAGGAAGAATAACTCAACAATTTAATCATATTCATCAGCTACTTATTGTGAAGAACAAAGAGGAATGTATCATTATTCAAAAGACTTTGTTCAAACTTTTGATTATGTGCTTAAACTTTAATTTTCCGACAATAATTGTCCGCCTACTTTGGAAGATGCGGTTAAATCTTCGGTAAACTTCAGAATAATTTAAAAGCAGAGTTTAATTAAGAAAATCAACGGATTTATTTTGTAATTCTTTAATACATGTATATATATGCTAGACAGTATTTAAAGAGATACTCTTATTTCACATGATCTTTTTTCAATACTTGAAATACTTCATAATCGTCTTCTTATGTATATCGATATATGAATATCACCCAAATCATTGATTTTCATACTTACAATGAATATACCAGCTGAAAATATTTTGATTGCATTTGTCGCTGATAAATAAATCGCAATCAAAATAAGGGCCACAATCATTATCCATTGCTTCTTCTACTGTATATTTGCTTTTGCATGACGCGAAATCTTTGCATGTTTCTTAACTTTCTCATTTTTATATTTTTTTGAGTGTTGCGTGAAATTTATTTTTCCTTCAATGATGAAAGATATTAAAGGCATCAATTGTTTTCATCCTAATTGTCAGGGTTATAGCCGCCAATAATTTTTCCCGTTTGGTTTATTTTCACGACTAATACAGTCTTATATTGAGAACCGCAGGGTTGACGGAATTTATTAGCTCCAAATCCATCTTGGTGCCACAATAAAGAATATCTTTATCAATGATTCTAGATGTAATCAACTCTACATGTTCAAATTAATGATGTTAGACTCAATGAAGCCGGATCGAGAGGGTAGTAGTTTGGTAGATTTTCGAGTCAAGTTTTTAAGGTAATACCCCAAAGTTTCCATCTTCACATCCTTTTGAAGAATTTTTCGATAAAGAATTACTTTTTCAAAGTAATCGCTGCCAGAGATATCATTATATCGGATCAATGGAATGCATTGATGAAGTGTTTTTTGAGAGCCTCGAAATTTTGCGGTGTCCATTTTAATACAGGTTGGATGTCCAAATTTGAGGCATTCCAATACTTGATAATTGAATTCCAAATCTCGATTTCGTCCATAGATAAGTCATCGCGTTTGAGCAATGTCACAAGCACCGATTTCTCCAGAGATAAGAAATCGCCAGATTTGAAAATCATATGAGGTTCTTCACTAATTATTTTAAGACAATGCTCCTCAATTCTTGAATGATTCGTGAAGCTGAACGGTGTGCATAATCTTGATAAGATCTTGTTGAATCCAAGTTGACTTTAATCAGGTTATCTTGCGCAAGATTAATTAATTCGTGAATCTCGAGTTCATCTGCGGCAACAAGTAAGCTCAAGAATTTTCTCCACTTGCTAGATCGAGATTAACCATACTTGTATATAAAACCTATGTATTTGTATACAAATTTAGTAAATAAATTATTGGTATAATTATTTAATAATAATGGTGTACATACTTTAGTATAAGCTCGAATATTTCAGATGAAATGTTTGGTTATTTAAAAATCATCGCTTCACCTTCTTTTCTTGCCCAGTCATCCGATAACGCACGTCGAAAATATGGTGAACGTGCACGAAGAATAAACGAATATGCTTGAAAAGTTTTTGTATTTATGTTTTCACCAACGATAATAATGAGATTATAATCGTCCGAGTTTTCTAACAACTCAGTTAAGATTTTTTGTAAGCACGGACTTCAATTAATCTTGAAAATGAACAGGGTGAAAATGAGAGTTTGTTTCTGTTGTGTACATTACGGCTATTGTTCAACTTGAGCACTTTAGTCAAACCATTTTTAAAAATAAAAATAGGCGTAACTTTTCACACACTGATCCAATACTTTGTAGTCCAATTTATTAAAGTATGATCGTGATGAGTTTGCAATACATTTTAGATTGCGTAATAATGCCAAAATGATACGAGCGTCATGATTTGATAATGAGACGAGTGAACGATTAAGTTAGCGCGAAAATTAAAATCTGCACTTAAACAATTCAATTGCTATTGCAATTTGTATAATAGATAGAATAAAATTTTTATTGTTGATAACTCCATTTGAGCGTTGCTTATACACGGCAAAATACGTTAATAATAACGACAAAAATTTTATCAATTCTATTCTCGAATCATATACGAGAAAAGAATGATTTAGTATTAAAGGAGCGACTAAAAAAAGTGACGTTATCTTGAGAAATATTTACGTGTATATTGCAATAATAAAATTCATTTTAATTACATGTACCTAACTTATTGATAATTCGTAAATATATGTATGATTAACCAGTGACAAATTGCATTCAACCTGCAGCAGAGAGGGCATACTGAATGCTGATATTATAGGCGCAGAAACCCCTGCTTATATGTATAGTTATTTTTAAAATATTTTTTTTACCAAACTGTCCATCATTATTTTCTTTGCTTGAGCTGCATAAAATTATTGATTTTATTCACTAAAAAAGATATTGTTAACTTTATTCTCAGTTTGTATTTGTGGTAGAATGAAATAGTTATAAGACTTGGTGCAATTAGTATATTGTATTGAAATATAGTATTTATTTGAGTATATTATTGAAAATTTGCATTGTGAAGTTGAGTTGTATTAATAGCATTGTTACAATTATGTTATAAAATTCGTTAATTCCATAATTCGTAATATTTCATGAAATTATGAAAATCATATAAAG